AAGAAGCCACTAATCGAGGCAAAATTATTTACGGTGTTGCAGGGCTATCGACTTTGGCAATTTTCACAAAAGACTATATCAAATCCACCGTCCTCGACTCGATGCATTTGGTTTCTGGTTTGGCGAAAATGCTCCTGACAGTGTGGTTCGATAAAGACTACAAATATCATGCGGCATCTCTCCATCATTGCTTAAAAACGGTCAACGATCGGCTATGTTCCATCACACCTCCTTCTTTTGTCAAAAGAATGCCAAGAACGATCAATGATCTCAGCGACTGGAAAGCTTCAGAGCTCATTACATGGCTGTTGATATATTCTTTGCCCGTATTGCATGGAGTCATGTCTGATGAATACTTTTTCCACCATCAAAATTTGGTTTTCGGATTGTATATGTATTATAAAAATGAAATATCTCCCTTTGAGTTGCAGCAAGGGAAAGAGTCAATTGACTATTATATGCATGATTTCGAGAAATTATATACATACAGATTCATGACGCCTAATCTCCATGGCTTATCACATCTCTGGCAAATTGTAAGTAATTTTGGTCCTCTAAGTGTCACTTCATGTTTCCCGTTCGAAAACATGAATGGTGTTATAAAAAAGTATTTACACTCCACAAAAGATCCACAATTACAAATATGCACGGCCTTCTCTTATTATATCCAATTGGCATTCTTGAAAGCAACATATCTAAGACCTGACAGCAATGCTTCTCTATTTTGTGACAAGATGGAAAAGAAGGGGACTCATCGGCACAAATTACAGTGTATTTCGCATAGGACATCCATTATAGGTACAATTAAAAAAATCCAAACTATTTCGGACTGGTTGCGAGAAGCTCTACAGCTGGCTGGGATTCATGGAACATCCATATACCAGTTTCATCGCCTTCTGCATGAAGGTATTGTTTACATATCACAGTCATACAGAAGGTCCAGAAAAACGAATTTCTCATATGTAGAATTCATGGAGAACGATGTTAGATGTCTGGGATATATTACAACAATCTTACGAGTGTCCAACTGTTCCTGCCATTCGAGTCTATGTGAAACCTGTATCAGCACCATTGAAACCTATGTAATTATTCAGAAATGTGAAACGTCGAATCCACTGAACCTTCGGAAGCTAGGCATAGATAATGCAGTTCCCATAAGTTTCATGAATGGCGTGCGATTAGATTCTCATCATGTGACTTGTATTGTGCCGGTATCCCAACTCCGAGGAGTGTATTTCTTGATCCAGTTTCCTGACATGGAGCTGAGTTACGTTATTAAACCTGTGAAATTATAAATCGTTGACGGAATGACTTGACCGTTTTCCGTAATGGCCCGTAAATTGGTTTCCGTAATTGGTTGATCAAGCATCATACACATCGAAAGATGCTTTTGAATAGTCGTAAGAGTCACATCATTCCAGCGTAGCGTTCATCAAAGATACTCTCTAATCTGGAAAGCGACACATTTCACCAAAATTATTTAGAAGTATCTGAGACTGATGAAAGAATCAGAGTCGGCACATGAACCCGGTACATATAAGGCTGGGAATCTTTAGAGAAGAATGAAATAGTTAGCACGTGATCTGGTGCAGCCGCGGAGTGAACAGGACATCGCTGATTTTTAGGAGCGAGAAACGATAGTTTCTGCGGAGGGAAAATTCGATGAGGTGCACAGGATCAAAGATGAACCAGAGTTAATAGGGAGTAATTTGCATGCTGTATCATAGGCAACTTAGAAGGTTCAGAAATACATCAGGATGATAATGCTCCGCCGAATGATGTCCTCATTCTAGGCTAGTCGAGGCGTGAGAATACAAACACTAACCGCTTATATTATTCAAGAAAGCATAGTTGGCACCGAGATAGACTAGGCTAAATTGGAATACCATACACAGGTACTAGTAGACGATTTGAAACGATTCAATTCTAAATGTGTCCAGCCACCGACTAGTCTACTTCAACCTCTGAAGCATGGGTACAGATACAGGATGGAACCATAGCAGAGTCATCAGTAACTTCTTCTCCTATTGAGCCACGATTCAAGTCACTAACGAGCAAAAGCAGATAAGGTCCAGCACTGTAGCTGGTATTATTGAAGACAATACTGTGGGCGATCAACAGGCTAGTAATCCTTCAGAGTTTGACACCGGATTGATTGATCAGGATTCTTGTGAAAACATAAGAGATATGGCACAGAACGAGAACAAAAGACTGTGGTTACACCTACAAGTAATGTAAAGCAAGTAAATACTGCTGTTGATGTCGCTACTGTTGTTTGTGGAGAAAACATTCGTCATGTTCTCGCCAGTCGAGCAGCCAGAAACCTCGTCTAACATTGCAGGAGATGAGAAATACTCGTCCCGCAACCAACGGTAATTATCTATTTGAAGAATCAGAAATTTTATCCGAACTATTCTGAATTGATCAAGTTAAATATCAGATCACATTGCATACAAAGTAAAATAGAAAAATTTCAGAAACCTAGCCGTCGTGAATACCCGATTTCATTCCTGAAGGTTACATTCTGCTAGGCTCTGAATCATCATTCTCAATCATGCTCAAATTCTCATAGTGACATTTCAATATCTATCAACAGTTTAGTCCAAACGATACAGGTTACAAAAGGCGAAAATGCCAAAACTGCCCACGTGGATTGGTTGTCATAATCATGCTAATGATTACCTGAATTCAATTTTCTTGGAAAACATATATGTGACCTTGACTTTCACCTTATAATCTTGGAATATGTACCGATTTTGCGCTCAAGATCATGATATATGAAAAGTACTTGGGTAGTCGAGATAGTTTTTGATCAGCTGAGCCCAGAAAGTTACTATAACAATAGGAACTGAGCACTGTTCTTTTGTCACTCACCACTGCGACTGCAACGTCGATGCGCACCGCATAGTCGATATCCTTTTAGATTGCATCGCTCGTAAGAATATTATGATAAATTTTCCATTTGGCTCTCATCACCGCATCATGTGGTGAGTATACGGCAACACTTTTAACGTTATCGATTAACAACAAAATAGATGAGTTTCTGTCCAAGGAATTTTCACTTATGCCACGAAAATGTTCCGTACTATGCCTGAACGCTCAAAATCAAATTATCAAAACTCCTTTACCCTGTTGTAGTAATCACAGTATTTTGATTTCTCTATTCTATCCCAGTCGTGTTGTCTCTGCTGATCTTCCAGTGTCTCCAGCAACTCCTCCAGACTGTTTCCTGCCTCCTCATGCTCACCATCCCACAGTTGCTTAATGAATTGAACATCTCCCAGTGACCTCAACTTATCCTGCACCCACTTTCCCCATTCCGATGGTTGGCCATTTAGAATCCCCTTGAATTCCTCCCTCAGGCACTTTCTCGCCCACCTCTCTTCATCCATCTTGCTCATCTTCAGCAGAAACGCCGCTGCTCTCCTGAAGGCCTCCACCTCTACACTACAGCTCCCTGACTCCATTCTCTAAATGTAATCCGGTGTGTTCCTTGCCAGTCCCATGCTCGACTTGGTGTATTTCTTCTGAACCGTTTCAATCACTTCCTGCCGTTCCCATCCCTATATCTCCACTCCATATAACGCCGCTGCCTTCACCGTTACTCCCATGAAATACAGTCATCCCTATAACTCCACTCCATATAACGCTGCCGCCTTCACCGTTACCCCCATGAAATACAGTCGCCTTCTTCGATTCCTCAGCCTTCTCCTTGTCATTTCTCCCCACGCCTTATTGACCAGACTCTGCGCTTTCCCTGCCAGCTTCTTCGTATGCCTTCCAAAACTGTTCCTTGTCGTGAACCAGAATCCTAGATATTTGAAATCCCTCACTATCTCTATTGGTGTCCCTTTATACTTCAAGCTCTCCGCCTCTAGCCGTCCACCCCTCATAAAGATCATTATCTTAGTTTTCTATACACTCACTTCCATCCGGTTGCTATCTGACCAGCGCTCCCCAATGTCCTCAACATTCTCTCTAACCCTGCCCCGTATTTCACCAACAAGGCCGCGTCGTCCGCGTACATCAGTGCGAATGCCTTAACCCCAGCCCCTGTCCCTTTTGCCGCTCCTTCATCTCCTCTCCTCTCGAATGCCTCGACTAGATCTTGGATGAAGATATTGAATAATAATGGGCTTAGTGGGCATCCTTGCCTCACCCCCTTTAGAGTCCTGCATTCTTCTGTCAGCCCCTCTTGCCTTTTTGTCATCCAGTTCCTCAGTCCTATCCAGCCAACCTCGTTCTGCGCTTCTGTGTAGCTTTTCTAGTCTTACCTCGACCTGCAGCACTTCCAGAATCCAGTCTTCTAATTGCTCTTTCTTCTTTCTCGGTTTAAGTGTTAGCCCTTCAACTATGAAATTTTTCCTCTTTGTCCTCCTCAGCTTCTCTTCAGCTTGCCATTCCTCTTCAGTTAGTGCCCTTGGCAGAGGGTTCAGGTATATTATTTCCTCCGCTCTTTCAGTTTCCACCTGGGCCAAGTTCTCGTTCATCAAGTTGGGGGTCCCCTACTTCCCAACGTATCATTAGCGCTAACTGCCTGGTGCTCCTCTTCCCAGTCCTCTTCCTCCCAATACCCTGCGTCCTCATTCGGTTTGGCGTCCTCCGCTTGTTTTCCTGTGGTTGTTCTCCAGTCCCCTAGCTTTCCTTTTCCAGCTTTCCGCGATTTCTCTCCACCGTTCTACTCTTTCCACTAATACCTCTGTCTCATCCTCTGCCTTCCTGCATCTTTCCTGAAGTTCTCTGAGCTGCTCGCCCACCCTATGTCTTCTATTCCCTTCCTCTACTTTTTTCTTCTCGCACTCCTCGCATTTGCTATGCCCAGCCACTTGCCTTACCTCTGTCCTAATTAGTTGCTTCAAGTCCGCCATTCTGGCTTCCCATTCCTCCTTTTGCCTCTGCTCCCAGTCAGTCATCCACATCCAGAGCCCTTCCAAATGGGTGATCCTAACCTCCGTTAATACCGGGGGAATTTCCCTTCCATTCTCCGAGCGCCCGCTCCCCTAACTGTCATTCTGTGTCTGACTTAGCCTATGAACATCGTCTTCCTCAACCTGTGGCAGATCCGTCTGTTTGCTCATGCCAGCGCTTCCCCATTCCTCCGTCACATTCAGTTCTGCTTCAGTCGCCCAGCGTTGTCCTGCTTGTGCGAGGCTCTCTTCTTCACTCTGTGACTCCTCACTCGTCACCACTTCTACTCTTATTCCACTTCCACTCTCTTTGCTCCCACCCCCCCTCTCTTTCCAGTTCGCTGTCTCCAGCTCAGTAATCCCCGTGTCCTCCTTGTTATTGCTCCCCGCTCTGGTTGCTTCTTCCCTGTTCGCGGTTATCGGTTCTATCTTCTCCTCTACTGACGTTGCCTCTTCCTTCTCATTGCTGGTCTTCTAGTTTCTCTCTCTGTTGAGTCCTCCTTTCCGGTCGCAGCTTTCTTTCTGCCTCTCCTTTTTTCCCTAGGTGTCTCTACTGCCTTAGCCTCTCCGCCCTTGCTGCCGCCTCCGTCGTTTTTCGCGTCAGTCCCCCCACCACTGAGGTTGTCGCCCCTCCGTCCCTTCTCTCCCCTCGACGCAACGCCGCCGTCCATCCTCCTAACCACAGCCTACCGACGCCAACTTTCCTTCTTAATTTTCCTTCCTCTAATCCGTTTTTCCGCTGTACTCCAGCACTTACCAACTCTTTCCACCGTTACTTACTTTTTCGTCGCACTTTGGTTGACTTCTCGTCTTTTTAAAGCGAATTAGCTAAGAAAAACGACAGAGTGTCTGAACCCGCATCTGACCCTTGTTAGTCGTACCACGGTATACAATACTTATATAAATTCTCAGCATACGTAGGCATATGGTTTTTTTTTATGTGTTTATGAATCGATAGATACTTGTAAATTAACAATATGATTCGAAACTTTAAAAGCTTACTTTATCTGTGTAAAATTATGAATTTTAGTGAGCTAATAATAATCTTTTCTTTCACGGATAGAACGGGATCGACAATTGATGACCAGTTTCAATTCAGATATACATTCGATCTTCATGAAAAAATATTGATTCGAGATTGCGGTGCATGGACAGCTGAATCATTCGATCGCTAGCAAATGAGTCATCTGCGATCCATCGTGCGCTTATGAATCACATATGATTTATTTGTGAATGATCGGAAGATTCAGACTCAGAAGTGGATGCGAATAATTTCAGAAAATTTCATCGTAAAAGAAATTCTAGATCAATCCCTTAGGGCATCGTTAAGCTCATTTATTACTAGCGCACCCGTAGCCGCGTCGCTGATATCCC